CATTACCTGGATTTGCTGTTCCTCGGAAATTTCTTTAACAAGGATCATCTTTAACAAGAAGGTAGAGAGTACCTTTGTGCCCATAAATCTCCCAGGGAGGCCCATCCAAACGCTCTCCACTGCCCACACGTGGTTTATCTACCACGTGGAGACTAAAGGCTTGGGAAAGAATTCCACTGGGCAGATCATAGCTACACAGAAACCACGTGTTTGTTTCCTGGTGAAGCAATCACCTGGGTCTCAGAAGAGCAGAACTTCGTCTGCTTTTTTTCCCGTGTCGCTGGGAATCACCCCTCTGTCCACCCATCGTCTTCCAGTACAGTGAAGTCAGCATCGTGGTGACTAGACTCGGTAACTGTTGCAGTGCAGAGATTTCCAGTAACATGGAAGAGATGAGGATGGAGTTCCTGATCAAATGAAAAGATCTTTGAAACTGCCAGTGCCAAGGCTGGCCGTGTGGGCCTCCACCTCCCATTATGTGCGATGTGTGTGGCCAGAGTAAATGGCAGGGGACACTGTTGGCTGTTGTCGCTGAGGCTGTAATTCCAGGCCCCAGGAAGGCGGGGCTGGCTTCTACCCACGGCTCTAAACATCACGCACAGACTGCCAAATCCAAGCGAGGTCTCGAGCCGACACCTACTCCTGAGCTGCAGAACCCGGCACCTACCACCTGCTGAACAGGTCCTCTGGGCGTCCAGCAGGCAACGCGGTTCCAGACATCCACACGGAACTCCTTCCCCACCCCCTCCCTGCTTGCGCAGGACATGGTCCCAGCGACGGCACGTCCTCCACCCAGTGACTCAGGACAGAAAAGGGGAAGTGGTTTCTGTTCCCCACACTGACCCGTCTCTCCGCCCTATCTTTGTATTGCCAGCCTCGGCCCCCCGGCGGGTGCTGCACATCCCCTGGGTTCCTGCAGCATCACCACCCCCGGCCCCGCCCGGGCCCTCCAGGTCCAGTTCCGTCTCAACCCATTCTGCACGGAGCATCCAGACCGACTCTAAAATGAGAACCTCAAATCCTCCAGGACCCTCGTCATCCTCAGGGAGGAGCCCAAACCCCTGAGATCGGCGCCCGAGGCCCGACCTGCTCTCCCGCTCTGCCAGCCCGGCATCACCCACCCTCTCCTCGGCTCGGCACCTTCAGCCCGGACGCTGGCTCCGCCGTTCCGCTCTCAGGGGGCACCTCTGACCCACCCTCTGCGCTTCCAGAGCACTCTGGGCCACCCTGCCCGCACACAGCCGCGTCCTGCTCTGTCGCCCCCTGTCCGCAGGGCCCTGCGGGCCGGGGGGTACCTTACTTGCCCTCATAAGGACAGTCGCACCCCCAGACCCAGAGCCTGGGCCCGCGCTTCAGGGGTCCTCGCCTTCACAATCTCAGCACAACCCACGCCCCGAGGGGTCGGTGTCGTGACCAGCTCTGTTCAGGATCCAGGAACTGCTATTCCAAACTCCCAGCCGCAGAGTCAAACCCCACGAAGGTGGGTGAGGGTGAGTGCGATGACCTGGGAGACAGACAGACAGACAGACGGACACGGTCCACGGCGCGGGTGTGGACGGGCCGCACCGAGCTAGAGAAGGCGAGTCAAGCCCGCTCTCAGTGTGGATGCCCTTCCCACTGGTGCCACCTGCACGTTTTCTCGCTTCTCTTCACGTGCCGATGCACGATTTAAGCAGCACTGTGGGATCTGCAAAACTTGCGAGGGGCAGCTGAGGAAGATTTTACAATATTCAACAATTCGCATCCTTCCTGAACGTGTACCTGTTCCCCTAAGTACCCGTACACACGCATGAACATGCTGCTGACTCTTTCACCTCCACTGTGTGGAAACAGAGGCTCCTCTAAGAGATGGTAAAAACATCAACATGAGTGACATCAATTTATATGATGAAATACAACGTTTTGTAAAATTTTTTCTGATAACAAAGTTATGAGACCTCATTACAAAGGTGGAGCAGGATATACAAAATTCTCAGTTTATATCTAAATCTAAGTACGCCTTAAAGAGTTTTATGGATGATTTCAGTTGCTTTTGGCAGAATTAAAGTTTTCTAAAATTAAATGAATAAAAAGTTAAGTACGCTGACTCAAAAAAGGTTATGTAATTTGGCATTACTGCTCATAAAGCACAGTGTATGTGAAAAACCTGATTATAACAGCATAATTAGTTAATTCTGCTGAATTTAAGGGAAGAAAAATAAAATGTATGGAATAACATATTTTGTACATTATGTATGCTTTAATTTTATTACTCATCCAACTGTCATTAGCCTGTCACCAACCAGACATGAATATTTAAATTTAGTCATTATGGGTATTTTATTGATTTTCAATCATAGATAACGCATAGTTTTAAACTTATTTTTTGAAATTTTGGTGTTTGGCAACTCTATTTGTTGGGGTGGGAACAGATAACATGTTTTACTTACAACTTTTAAATGTTTTAAAATATGGGATAGGAGGGCCTCCACTTACACACTTCCGGGTCTGCTGTGAGAGCGGTCGCTGATTGCACAGCGCACTGGCAGCCTGCCTGCTCAATAAATATTTCTGAAATGAAATGCATGTGTATACATGTCTAAGGTTACACAGGCAAATTTAAGAGCTATGTGAATTGTTTAATACTGCAATAACATTTCTGAAAGGAATTAATGACTCTCTTTCTCTATCAAGATAGAAGATACCATGAATTAACTCACATTAACACATCAAGCCGCTCAGAAAATCCCAGCTTTGAGGTGTGTTTCCCATCAACAGCTGAAACACATGGTCGTCAGGAGAGAATGTCTGGACTCTGGTTCCATCACCTCAGGAATTCACCTTTCCTCCAGCTTCGTCTTAGCTACCAATGGGATCAGTGTGTTATGTGTTTACGCAATTCTGCTCGCAATATCCATTTATTCAGGAAATCAGTACTAATCCCTGAGGCTGTGAAATAACCTCTGGAGAAGCAGTGGTGAACAGGGAGATGCTGGCTTCACGGAGCTGGCCTTCTGGTGGGGGAGCAGTCATGGAACAAATGACAACATAGTTAACTGTGCATGTACGGCTGTCATGGGATCAGGTAACAGGAGGGCCTCATCCCAGGCCAGAGAGACAGGGGAGCCCCAGGGAAAATGAAAAGCAAAGGGTGAGTTAGGTATTATCCAGGCAAAGAAAAAAGGGAAGAGAACCACCCACACAAAGAATACGGAGTCCTGATCAAAACATAGCCAACCCCATGTGAACAGCCCCCGAGCTTGAGACAGCTTGGTGTACTCAACGCCCGTGAGAAGGGGCCTCCAGGGAGGACAGGGGCCCGCCTTCCTCTCCAGAACTTTAGGTTCTGTCCTGAGTGCAAGGGGCCACTAAGGGGCTTTAATCAGAATGTTTTTCTCCGATTTTACACTCTGTGTGGTAACTGACTCTGATCCAGGAAGAGCTGGAAAAGAAGGGTAAGAGGTGCTGGCACATCTGCAGGAAGCAGACGGGTGGGGCTGGGCCAGGGCGTGGTGAACAGCAGGCCCGCGGAGATCTCGTCGGCGGGAGCATCAGCTGGACTGGGGATGGACCAGATGACGGGCGGACAAAACTGAGAGGGCAAAGGTGATGGTCAGAAACCTGACAGGGTAGCTAGCTAGAGAAACACCATTTATACTCACATGGTATCTCCATTCTTATCTCCGTCCCAGACTTATCTACCAAGCTTCAGACAAACGTATCCACTCGCTGCTGGAAACTGTAACTCCACGATCTCCCTGGAGACTCAAGTAACACGTCCAGCCTGAACTCATCATTTTCCCCTGACTCAGCCAGGAACTCAAACAGCTCCTCCATTTTTCCTTATCATAGCAAATGCCCTACCATTTGCTAATCACCTGTGATGGTTAATTTTATGTGTCAACTTGACTGGGTCAGAGGAAGCCCAGAATTTGGTCACACGTTATTCTGGGCACGTTTGTGGGGAAGTTTTTGCATGAGGTTAACATTTGAACCGGCAGACGGGGTGAAGCAGATGGCCCTCCCTAGTGTGGGGAGGCCTCATCCCATCAGCTGTAGGCCTGAGTACAACAAACATGAGAGAGACTTCCACCTGCCCGGCTGCCTTGGAGCCGAGATATCAGCCTTTTCCTGCCTTTGAACTCAAACTGGAACACTGGCTCTTCCTGGGTGTCAAGGCTGCCAGCTTTCAGACTGGAACGTATACCACTGGTTCTCCTGGGTCTCCAGCTCTGACTGCAGATATGGGACTTGTCAGCCTTTGTAATCACATGAGCCAATTTCTTGTAGTAAATCCCCTTCTGTCTCTCTCTCTCTCTCTCTCTTTCTCTCGCTGTGTGTGTGTGTGTGTGTGTGTGTGTGTGTGTGTGTGTGTATATATATATATATATATATATATATATGTATCTCCTATTAGTTCTGTTTCTCGGGAGAAGCCTGACTAATACATCAGCCAAAGAGGGGATGGTGTTGCCTGGGAGGAAGGTAAAGTAAAAAACGAAACACACAAAAGCCCCCAGAAAAACTCATATAAGTTACAGGGTACCCTGATGTCATGAATAAACTCTAGAGCAAAGAAAGAGAATGAGGCCAGAGTTTACTTCAAAGTCATGTAGGTTGGACTGTGACAGAGTTTCACTGGGTGCATGGCCACCCCGCTGGGGGCTCTACCTCGCAGACCTGTATACTGCTAAGTGCGGCTGTGTGGCTAGGGTCAGACCAACGGAACATGAGGGGAAACTGATGTAACTCCAGGACATCTCAGTAAAGGTGAAGTCATCTTCCTAGAGCTTTACCTCTTCTGGTTTTTGAAGGTTGGAAACCTAATTTGAAAATGGTCCGGGCTTCCCTGGTGGCGCAGTGGTTGAGAGTCTGCCTGCCGATGCAGGGGACACGGGTTCGTGCCTCGGTCCGGGAAGATCCCACATGCCGCAGAGCGGCTGGGCCCGTGAGCCATGGCCGTTGAGCCTGCGCATCCGGAGCCTGTGCTCCGCAATGGGAGAGGCCACAACAGTGAGAGGCCCGCGTACCGCAAAAAAAAAAAAAAAAAAAGAAAATGGTCCGCTTTTAACCCCAGGGACAAGCACCACGCTCTGAAAGATGCTGGAGGAAGGAGATGGAAGGAATCAAGGCCCCTGAATGACCTCATGGAGCGGAGCCTCCACACCAGCGTGGGCTGTCGGTCCATCTCTGGACTACGTTCCATTAGAGAGATGAAGCTCTCCCCTATTCGTCACGATATTCTGGAGTCTCTTTGTTACAGCAGTTCAGCTTTATCATAACTGAAACAGACACATGGGATTACGCACATGGGGAATCACTGCGGTTCCACACAGCGGGGACAGAAGTGACATTTGTCTTCTATGTTCACTGCTGCAGCCCAGAGGACGGAACTACTGGTATCTGCACATGGTAGGCACTCTGCAAGTATGTGTTGAGTGAATAGATAGGGGGAGTCAGTGCCAGATTGGAACTGAAAGGAAAGTGAAGAAGTGGGGCGAGGGTATCGAGTTACATGTCTGTTACAAAGATCTGCTGAAGAGAAGGGAGTGGCTCTAAGGAACCATCTGAGTGTCTCTGCATGAGAATGAAGGCACGTGTGCGTGAATGTGACACAGCAAAGACAAGGGCAGAGCTAAACAAAAATGGAACACATACAGTATGAGAAAGGAGTGAGACAAAAGAAATGAGTACTGAACAGTCTTGTGAATTTCCTGATTACCCTTAGCGGGGGTAAGATACTTTCTTAACATTGCTGGAAGGGAAGAAGGAGGGGCTGGGTATAGACAAGTATCAGCTGTAGGGTCAGAAGCAGGTATCTGAGGATGTTTCTGAGTGTTGGCTTCTATTTTTTTCCTCTTTCTATAGAGTAGGAAGCAGGGTGAACCACTGGAGAGAATGGTGCCCAGAACAGGGGCCCAGCTGATGTGAGCAGAGGAAGTTGAAAACAGTCATCGTGGAGAAATAGCAGAGTGAGCGCAGGACCACGCTGGGAAGAAAGGGGCATCCTGAAAGGCTCGCTAATGAGGCTGTTACAGTAACGATCCACCCGGTATGTGTTTCCCTGGTAATCTACTGTCAGGGTTCAGACACAGACACGGAGGACGGAAAAGGATTGGCTTCTTCCAGGGTTGTGCTTTTCCCAGATGAACAGAATTAAACGGCTATAGGACAAGACGTTTCAGAGAATCACACTAGGCTAACTGCTGGACCCTTGTTGGATGAAAGGGAAGTGGTGGCAGGAAGGGCTGGTGGGGCAGGTGGCTGGACGCATCGATGGCCTGGAGGGTCTTAACAGGAGGGTGAGAACCTACAGTGTGGCCCCATACCTGGCCAGTTAGGACAGGAAACAGAGGCAAACAGAATGGTTTTGTAAATTAAGACTGATTAATTTCCAGCATGACAAAGTTGAGAGGAGGGGGCCGGTCTGGAGTAGAAGAAAACGTCACTGCGGGTGAGGGGGCAAAGGAAGTAAGAGACCGTGTGTACGAGATGAGTTCCTGGTGTGGATGTCGAGGGCCCTACGGAAGGGTGCTCTCAAAGTGGCCAGAGAAGGCGCCACGGCCACACCAAGTGGGGCAGACAACAGCCAGGAGTGGAGGGGAAGGCGGTGAGGCCAGATCCTGCGAGATTTAAAGGAGCAAAAGCTTAACAGCTAAGAGAAGAGCTGTGGTCGGAAGGCTACCCGAAGGGCAGGGAGACAGTGACCCAAGCTCCAGCGCTCGGGCGTGAGGGGCAGTGGGTGGGCAAACGGCCTCCACTGGACAGGATCCCAAAGGATCAGGAACCAGCCAGGTCGCGGTTACAGAGCAGAAGGGATACGAGAGGAGCGTTTAGGAGTCGGGAAGGGTGGGTGGGGAGAGGCACGTCCCGAAGGCTGGGTTTGGGAGGCTGTGTGGAGACAGGGCATGAGTGTGGGAACGGTAACAACTGGCTGACGAGGCTGCACCTTGAGTGGTGACGCGACAAAGGGACACAGGCTCTGGTCAGCTTGCAGGGACCGCTGCACACTCTCCTGGGGGTTGACAAACTCATCCGACGGCTGTAACTCCATCTTTCATCCTTGACAGAGACTCTACCGTACCTTCCCGAACGATCTGTCTGTTGCTGTAAACGGGGTCGGTCTGAGATGGCCGGTCCTTTATCTATCAGTTGCCGTTCCTGTCGTCGATGCGTGTGGACCGTCCTTTGTGGACACCATCCGTCCTGGACTTCATCTAGTCATCCACGGGCTTCGGACATCTTCAGTTTCACAAACTCATAGATTGATGTACACATGTAATCGGTGAGGAACCTTGTCCAGACCAGGAGACTGGGACCCACAATGAGCTTCGAAAGAGAGGTTTTATACTCCTTTCTCTATTACTATTAACCTTGTGTATCCCCAAAACAAGAAAGCTTGGGCCCTGAGAACAGGTCTTCTGAGCCCTGGCTCTGCCGCTTACAAGCCCTGCGACCTTGAGAAGGCTACAGGGAGCGTCCCACAAGCCAAGAACCGTAATCTCATCTTATAAAGGGAGATAAGCGCCCTACGGTGCCTGCCTCGTACGCCAGTGTGGCCGCTGAGCGGTAAGAGGTACACGGTGCTCTCACGGTCACAGCAGGAGTGCAGCTGACCATTCACAGTTCCGGGCAAACATAAGACGGCGTGTAGGTTCAAAATGCCTGTTTCCTAAGCGGGGGCTGATTCCTTCTGATGCTGTGATGAGGGATTTGTCTTAATCCCCCTGGTGTGTCTGCTTCTGGCCTTTCCCACCTGTGCTTTTCCAAGCTGCCCCTGGGAAGCTACTTGTGGGATCAGACTGGATTTTTGAAAATAATTTCTCCCTTTTCCTTTTCATTAGGACCACGTGAAGTTGCATCGCCTAAATTGTGCACTGAGAATGTCTCTTGGGAGTTGTTTCCCTCTGGCTTTATCAAAGCACCTGCTTCATAAGGCCTGCCTCCTTGGAGCCTGGGACACGTCTGACCACCCAGCTCGTCCTCCGTGACACAACTGTCCCCTGTACCTCTGCTCGGACTTCCCCCGATAAACCGCTCCCATCTCCTTCCTTACTGGCTTCCCCTGATGACCCACGGATTTCCCTGCAGTCACAGGCCTTTTGCTGGGGGCTCAGCAAGTACAGCATCGTTCGTTCTGACTCCCCCATCCATCCGTCTCTCTCAATCTGCTAAAACTTTCTTAGTCGCTCTCTAACCATGACTCATCTCACCAAGCAAAACGGGTAAAGCCATGTTATCAACTATGTTGTCATTTTAAGTTTACAACCCACGGAATACTTATTCACCGGCGGATGTCGACGGCTAAGCATGTTGATTTAAACACCCTTTTCCAATTATGTCATTATGGGAATAACTGGACACATTTTGAATCTTAATTATCTTTTTATGCTATACCGTAGGCCATAGGAGAGGGATGACAGCTTTCTTTGGACTGACACCCTAGCTTGTACACAGGGTTCAAGTCACATGAGCTGAGATCAGTTTTAAGTTCAAAGAATATATGTTTTAACTTCCTGAGGAAGCAGAGACCATGATTTTACCAAGTTGCCACGTTAATCAAACAGAGACACAGCCTTGAAGGGGAGTGAGTTCACAATCAGAGCTCAGGCAGGTCAACAGTGTGTCCCGTGAGAACGGCGGCCACCAGGGGTGTGCCATTGCTTTCGGAACCTGCGTCATTAAAAATACATCTTCTCTTCTTCTCAAGTGTTCCCCTTGGTTGCTCAAAATTTCTTCACAGAAGAAATACAAAGAAGAAGAAAAAGTAATACATAGCACACGAAATCAAAGAACCAGGGTTTCGTTTAGAAGAATGCAAAACTGTATTTACTGTGATTACGATTCAGAAAAACTGGCAGCCTCCAATTTCTTTTCTGCAATTCAATTAACCTTATGCGTACCTTTCTGCTTTAAGGTGTTAATTTTTTCCACTCAAGAGAAAACAAAAGGAGAATGAAATAAATTATGAGAATATGAAATGTAACTGATTAAAAAAATGGAAGAGATTGGCATTTCTTCCTCGGGGAACATTTGTCTTAGGGGTCACCTTTCAATTCTTCCAACTGCTGTCTTCAGAAGGACCTAAATTAATTCTGGATATTATTTTCATTTTTTTGAAGAAATTGGCTCAATTTTTCTCACAATCAAGGAGTTGGAACTTGATTTTGCATAAGATATGAGCGCTGCATCTGGAAAAGAACTGCCCCATCTCCCAAATAATTAGGATAAGTTCAAGTAGATCATAAGTAACAGACGCTTAAATACCCCTCACACTTACAAGGAAATCTTCAGATAGAACAGTAATATACAGTCTGCAGCCAAGGTGGTTCAAGGTCAGTTTCTCCTTCCAGATGCATCTGCAGACAGTCAGCATCTCCCCACCACTGGACCCTCTACAAAAAGCACATCTAGAGATACGCAAGCTGTGGATGAAATGCAGCGGGTTTGCTAGGGGCACGTGTTTTATAACATGCATGTGTAACTGATGGAGTTGGGACCGATCAGGTGTGAATATAACGTAAAAGCTGCAGCGGGCGTGGACCAATGTCTCTGGCACACAAGGGTTGTAAGTCACGACACTAAACACAAAAGGCTAACACAAGTGAGCAGGGCAGGACGCAGAGGCGTGCTCTTCCATAAACGATGCCCTCTGACCCCACGCTGTCCCTCTTGGTCCCGTTTGGTCACATGTTCTGCCTTGAAAGTGTCTGTTGCACGCGTCTCCGGATCTTTGTCAAAAGGAACAAGCGCAGACAGTGGTCCAGAACGGCCAGCGCTGGCATCGCTGCGTTTGCCTGTAACCATCCACCTCTGTCCTCGTCTCCAAGGCCAGGCACCTCCACCCGTCCTCCCCTGGTCTTTCATCAAGCCGCCTTTGCCTTCCTCTTTATTAAAGTTCTGTGTGTACCGCAGCTTACTTCATCTATCAGGAATTTCATACGCCCTTTCTGTGCAAGGATCTTAATTAGGATTTTTTTTTTTTTTTTGCTTAGTGTTCCGGTTACAAAATTTCCAAGGTTTTGAGTATTCTATCCCAACCCTACATCTTCCCAAATCCTTGCTATTTTCAGTGGATGAGTTTGCAGGATGCATACTTCACAGTAACACACCTGCACCGCCAATCCATTCCTGAAAACTTCAAAGGTAAAACAGCTCACTGCATTCAGTGTCTCACTAACTTTTAACCCAGTTATGGTGGTGGATGTACGGAGTTATAATTCATGTAATTAAAATATATTCGTTTCTTCATAGTTCACAGTTGTTACTAAAACTTTGAGGAGTTTATAATTATTCACTTACCTAGACATTTAGGTACAATTGCTATAATTTGTGATGTAATGTTTAGCCCTTAGGAACAAAACTTTCTGCCTGAATGGGAGCCTCTTCAATTTCCCCTGCAACACCTCTTTAAACTGGGTATTCTGATCTTTTCCCAGATAGTTATTTTCAGCTGTGTCTCTGATTACTGCTTCCGTTTCTGCTGTTCCATTCTGCCCCTCTGGAACATCTAAAATACTGAAGTTCACACTGGTTTCCTAGTGGTCCATATCCATTAGCTTTCAATGAGGTTTGAGTCTAGACTGACCCAGATCCCTCTTCTGCGCTCCAGGCCCCTGGGTCCTGTATCTACCCAGCACCCTACTGTGACTACCTCGAAGACACGTCCATGTCACCTTGTGCAGCCAGTACCTCTTGCCGTGTTCCCTACCCCAGAAATGGCGTCCTCCCAGCTGAGCAAGCCAAGAGCTGGCAGTCAGCTCTGACATTCCCTGTTCCTCCTTCCCCACATCCTGTCTATCACCAAGTCCCATTAATCTCCCTTTAAGCAGTCCTCAAATGACTCACATCTCTTTGTCTCCACCGCCACCCACCCTCCTGACGCAGGCTGCAGTCTTGGACTTGGGCCACCGCAGCAGCCCGTCTCTGGACCCTCCAAATGCAATGGCCAAAGTGACCCTGAAGAGACACCAGACTGAGCACATCACCAACCCCCATCTAAACTCTTCCAGAAAACTGGGAGTGGAAGAAAATGTCTTCAATGTGGTAAAGGCCACATTCCCAAAACATTTAGCAAATATCACACTTAGTGGAGAAAACTTAAAATCAGAAGCAAGGATTCTTCCTTAACATCACAACTGTTAAACAAAGGTCCTTACCAATGCAGTGAGATAAAAGAAGGAGAGGGAGGAGGGGGAGGGGAGGGAGGGGGAGGGGAGGGAGGGGAGGGAGGAGCGGGAGAAGGGGAGAAAAAGGGGGAGAGGAGGTAGGAAAGAAACGAGTGGCACACGGTTTGGAAGGGGGAAGGTGAAAGAATATCCTTATTGGCAGATGACACAGTCCTAACCATAGAAATCCCGACAGAACAGAGGGACTTAAAACTAATGAAAGTTCCAAAAGACTGAGGGATATAAAATCTGCTTAAAAATCAATAGTATTTCTCTATGACTACAATAAACAAAGTTTTTATCAAACTTCTGTGTTGAAATTTCATCAACTGCTTTTTCTGTATCAATAGAGATAATCACATGGTTAATGTACTTATCAATGAGAAAAGACAGGAACCCAATCGAAACATAGGAAAATTTTGAAAGCAGTTTGGAGCAAGAGAAATCTACATGACCGGAAAGTATATGAAGACACTCTCAACTCATTAAACATGATGAGAAAAATAAAATAAAATGAGGAGATGTCACTTTACAACCATTATACAAAATTTTAAAAGAACGATAGCACCAAGAGCTGGCGAGCAAGTAACCCGTCATGCACATGCCCCCGCATCACCAGGGCCTGTGAACAGGACTTTATTTGGAAATAGGGTCAAAATAAAACAAGTCCGAGATATCCATAATCAGTGATTGGGAAGAGGAAAATTATCCAGAAAAGTCTAGAATAAAGGATGCTTAGGGAAGAGAATTAGTAGGAAAAGAGAAAGAAACCTAGCATCTACTAGGTATCTACCTTGTGGTTAGGGCTTGACATCTATCATCTTATAAAATGTTCTCAGTAACACTGAAGTAGGCGGTGTCATCTCTTTACATAGATAGAGAGGTGACTTCCTTAAAAGCAGACAGCAGGACTAGAACCCAGCTCCATCTCACCTGGATAGCTACAGCTCCGGAATAAGAGAAAAATCAGTTTCCAAATGCAGCATTAGTCTTAATGAGGAAATATTGATGATTTACTAAGGAAAAGGTAAACAGTAGCCTTCTAGAAACAATTTCAGTGGCATGGTAAGGGACAAAGCTGGGTTAGCGGTAACAGAAGAATTCAAATTACCTTGACTTAGGTCTTCTCTGGTGGCGCAGTGGTTAAGAATCCACCTGCCAATGCAGGGGACACGGGTTTGACCCCTGGTCTGGGAAGATCCCACATACCGGGGAGCAACTAAGCCCGTGTGCCACAACTACTGAGACTGCGCTCTAGAGCCCGAGAACTAAAACTACTGAGACTGCGTACCACAACTGCTGAAGCCCGCGCATCTAGAGCCTGTGCTCCACAATAAGAGAAGTCACTGCAGTGAGAAGCCCACACACCGCAACGAAGAGTAGCCCCCGCTCGCCGCAACTAGAGAAAGCCCGTGCGCAGCAATGAAGACCCAACGCAGTCAAAAATAAATAAATTTACAAATTATCTTGACTTATACTAAAGGTTAGTGAATGTCTGGGCACATTTAAAATGATGGAAGAAATATAGAATAAAGGTGTTAACAAGAAAAAGGGCAATTATGAGAGAGTTATTCTAGAAAGGTGAAGAGGAATTAGATTGAGAAGTGGACTAAAGAATTATCTATTATTATTATTGCTCATTATATTTTATTTATTTATCTTGGCTGCCCTGTGTGGCATGCGGGATCTTAGTTCCCCAACCAGGGATCAAACCTGTGCTCCCTACATTGAGAGGGCGGAGTCTTAACCACTGGACTGCCAGGGAAGTCCCTATTACTGCTCATTATCTTTAAAGAAGAGACTTTTTCTTGCTAAAATTGCACAATCACAGAAAAAGGAAAATATTCCCTAGTGTAATTATATCTGTGTATTGACAGTTAAAATTCATATTTAGTTCATTAAAATGTTTGTGTTCTTTATTGGATCCGGAAAAAAACTAATTTAACTCAGCATATTTTTGTCATGACTAATTCTGTTGGAAACATACTAGGAATAAGCTTGATATCAAATACAGAGTTGAATCACTTGGATTCTACACAGAAAATTTCCATCTCTCAACAGCTGAGCTGTACCAATGGCCTCCTTTATTAGGATGCTGTAAACAGGATGCTTGTTAGGATGTTAAAAAGTAACTGGTGTAAACAAAGGCTCTTCCCTGCAGCTCCCGTTTGTCCTGCCTTGTGATTCTGGCTCGGAGCCAGGAATACAGAAGATGCTGGATGACGTCTCGTAGACGAAGCGCCTGTGGTCAGCAGTGTGCTCTGGGAACCAGGCAGACCTGTGCTGCTTCTTAAATCAGCGGTCCCCAGCCCTTTTAGCACCAGGGACCGGTCTGGTGGAAGACAATCCTTCCACAGACAGGGGCGGTGGGGTGGGATGGCTCAGGTGGCAATGGGAGCGATGGGGAAGGAGGTGAAGCTTCACTCCCTTGCTCGCCGCTCACCTCCTGCCGTGCAGCCCGGTTCGCAACAGGCTGCGGACCGGTAGCGGTCTGCGGCCCGTGGGTCGGGGACCCCTAGCTGAACAATTAACAGCTGTTAACTTACTCTAGGTTTCACCACCATGGCTTACTTTCCCAAACAACTGAGATCTTTACACTTACATTTTCACTACGTGATCGGAATAGGTGACTTCTAAACTGAAGTCCCCACCACTGGTTTCCGTGAGCAAGAAATAATAGACATGATCAGTTGTACCACCAAATTAAAATGTATTGAGTTCTGTGGCTTAAGCTGAGCTAAGTATGTACACAGCTAGGAGGAATAAGAGACAGTCATGAGCTGGACAGTGTGTAGCCGTCAGAGAAGAAAAGGAGGAGCAGGGTTACACACGTGCAAGCCGGGAGCCTGGACAGGGCTCATCCCTGACTCTGCCACCTGGGACATCACTTATCCCAACGGGGGCTCAGTTACCTCTTACTTAAACTGGGCATAATTCATATACGTACCTCCCCGGGTCATCACAGGGATGATGCCTGTGGAGATGCCCGTCAAGCTGGGCACAAATGTAACAAATCACTACTTTCATTGATGGAGGAATAAGAACAATGGCCCCAGAAGCCAGAAATAAAGACGGACATGGGGCTTCCCTAGTGGCTCACTGGTTGAGAGTCCGCCTGCCGATGCAGGGGACACGGGTTTGTGCCCCGGTCCAGGAAGATCCCACATGCCGCGGAGCAGCTGCGCCCGTGAGCCACAGCTGCTGAGCCTGCGCGTCCGGAGCCTGTGCTCCGCAACGGGAGGGAGAGGCCACAACGGTGAGAGGCCCACGTACCGCCAAAAAAAAAAAAAAAAAAAAAAAAGACGGACATGTACTTAAGGATAAATACATGCAGAGAAGAAGAAACTACTTAAGATAACTTTGTACGCTACCTTAATCTCAAATCACATTCCATTTCTTTTTTTAAAAATTATTTATTTATTTTTGGCTGCACTGGGTCTTTGTTGCAGTGCGCGGGCTTCTCATTGCAGTGGTTTCTCTTGTTGCGGAGCACGGGCTTTTAGGCATGCGGGCTTCAGTAGTTGTGGCACACGGGCTCAGTAGTTGTGGCTCGTGGGCTCAGTAGTTGTGGCTCGTGGGGTCTAGAGCACAGGCTCAGTAATTGTGGCGCATGGGCTTAGTTGCTCTGAGGCGTGTGGGATCTTCCCGGACCAGGGCTCGAACCTGCGTCCCCTGCACTGGCAGGCGGATTCTTAACCACTGCACCACCAAAGAAGTCCCTCAAATTCCATTTCTAATCATTCCTAATCTTTACACCACCTTGTTCTCAGGAAAGTCAGAATCTCCAATGAAATTGGTGAAGACCCTGAGGTAGAGGTGGGTTGAGAGGATCAGTAAATGTCAAATAACAAAAGAGAAGAAAGGATGAATTAAATCCTGGTCCATTCTTCAGTGAGCTGTATGCAATCTTTCTGGTCCCTGCCATCTCTTGGATTTATAGATGTATAAACATAGCCTCTATTCTCCAGGATGGATTTAATTACCATCAAGAAGTATTTTTCAAGTAAACACTTCAGTTTCTGCGTCTGCCTCTGACTCAACACAGCTGAAAGCAAATTACGGGTTAAAAAGGTTCATATCATGTACAGAACAACCATGATTTTCTAAATGGAAGGACATCTTTAAACATCTGAGAGGGCTTCAATTTTCATAGACGCCATATTCTATATTTAACTAGAACCGACAGTATAATGTTCAAAATAACCATGGAATACTAATGAAATCAATGCAACTTAAGTTTAATCATGTTTATGTCTAAAATCACCATGCAATGTCTTCTTCTCCTTTCCTTACCAATCTCTTGATTTATTGCTGTAACGATACTCCTTCGGTACCATCATGGGCAAGTCAACTGAAAAATGTATAACTTGAATCTCTGAACATCTGCAAGATTCAGTCCAATTTTGCTTATGTTAAGCCTTATTTCAAATCTGGAGCATTAAAGCTAAAACTTTAGCCTTAATCCCTGAAGCATGCCAGGGCTTTAAATCAATAACAATGGACAGATATTCGCAAACACTGCCTTCAGTATTGTGATCATTTCCCCAGCAGAATGCACTTTGCTCTGAATTCTTCAGTATACTTTCTTGTAAAACAAGGTGCACATGCACACACCCGCACGTGTGTGTGTGGTGTGTGTGTGTATGTGTGTGTGGTCCAACACCGTCTCTTTTAATTTTTTCCTGGAAGTACATATATTACGTCTTCTACTTCCAGGAAGATGGAACACATGCTCCTTTCCCTATTCCTCTCATTATGAACAACTGAACACCCTGGACATTTCATATAAAACAGACATAAAGACTCTGGAAGGGGGAGAGAAGAAGGCCTCAGCTGAAGACTTCAGGCCCTGAGGAACGACGCGGTGGTGATGAGTTCCCCGGGTTTGCTTTTCGCCTTGTGTATCTCAGACTTGCAGCTGAAGACTTCAGGCCCTGAGGAACGACACAGTGGTGATGAGCTCCCCGGGTTTGCTTTTCGCCTCGTGTGTCTCAGACTTGCAGCTGAAGAAACCAGTAACCCAGAAATAGCAATGGG